ATGATACAGATTTAATATCTGCATTTGTGCAAATTCGCTGGAAACTTGATGGAAATTTGTATAGATTGATATACAAAGTTAAATATAACGCACCCTATTTGTGTTCTATTTATAACAAAATCCGACATTTATTTAATAATTTATTTAATATATGTTCAAAAAATATGTACTCCACAAAAGAGTAAAAATAATGTACTATTAAAAATTTCTTATGTTCATATTTTTTCCTAATTTTCTCATGTCTACGGTACGTTATGTTACAGCACACTTTTATACCTTTTATTTATTTATTATTTTATACATTTTATAAATGATTTGATTAAATTTGTATATCATTCGTCTAAATATGCAAAATTATTGTGTAATGAAATTTTTATGAAAAATTTAGAATGATATAAATGTGTGAAATGTAATATTCAGAGAAGTATGACCGTGGGGCAAGGAGCTCGCTTTTAGTAAGTTTTTTTCTTGAAATTTCTGGTGCGGTTTATTATTGTATATTGCATATTATAAGAGATTTATGTTTCAACTTCGTCTCAAGAGAGAGAGAGCAATACAGGAGCGTTCAAAAATCATTTTATCTAATTAATATTCTGATAATTATAAAATAAAATTGCTACTTGCAACATTTATATCAGGAAGCTATGAAGTATTATTAAATTGACAGAATAATATTAGAGTATTCTGGATGAAATATCCTGATTGCTTACATTTTCGCAAATGTTAGAAAAATTCTCGTCAATATTTCTTATTTTGAATCTATAAGACTTATAATAACACACGTGTATGTGTGTCATCAATAATATTTATTTCATATAACTTTTTAGTTGTTGTAAAATTAGATGTAATGTATACACAAAATATCAATTTCGTTCTCTTTGATATGGATATTTGCCAGTTGCTTGTATCTTTCATAGCATCAATAAAACGAATCTGTTACATTCAGTATTATTTTTTTATTGTAACTTAGTTTTATTTTCTGAAATATTGACGAGCCTTTTTCTAATATTGACATGTGTATATTTTATTATTTCTAAAATCCAGAAACTTTAAGAGAAACTTCTGATAAGATAGCAAGATTAAAAATATATATATGAGTGCTTAATGAGATGTTAATAAAATAGGTACGCACTTATGGTGGTTCTATAAGAACTCGCGTGGAATCGTTGGAGAGACTAGAGCAACAGAGCACCATTGTGGAACAACAAGGCTCGGCTTCGTCCACTGGCAGAGCGGTTCAGAATACTTACAGTTTCCTCTGACGCTGGATTCACGCTAATCCGCCATCAGGCTACAATCCAGTCAGTCCGACGGACTGAATGTGAACGATATTATGAAGTATTCGCAGTTTTTATCTCCAGAATTGCGTCACGCCATAAACCGCTGTTTTACGACAAAGCGCATCTCTTTGCTAGTACAAAAAAGAATTGCATTTTTCTTTTTAATATAACTATCTTCCAATCATTGACTCTTGCGTTCAGCATTCGACATTATATACTTTTATGATCTATTAGCAACGCGTTTGTGCATCGCATTTACATCGAATAATAAGAAATAGAATAGACTACCAACAAAACGAGTCTCAGTTAGCAATGGTCATTTCATAACGTGCTCAAATTATTCCCACCTCCTAATAATGCTGCAGCATTCGATGAGGAGCTCCCTTTCGCAGGTTTGCATGCATCTGTGACACGTCTTTTTCATCGAGACCGAATTAATAGTCTCCTCGTATATTTTTACTGAGAGAACGGATATATTTTAATGAAAGATCCCGAGTCTCGTTACACTGCTTAATTAATACACGTAACATTGTGCGTAAAAACGTATGTGTGTAATTGGGGAATGATAGTCTCCGAAATCTTGAATTATGGACTGCCAGTATAATGCAATCCCTATTTGTGTCTTCGGATCATCCCGAAAACGTGACAAGTGCGCCAAAGCTAAAGCTGAATTATTATTAAACCCCTGCTTCTCTCGTCACGAGTACAATTTGTTATACAAAATTGCATTTCAGCCGCATTGTCACTAATCCCGATGCTTCGTAGGGCGAATAAATGTAACAGATGTGCCCTATAACCATCGATAAGTATAAAACGAGCTGCGATATTTATAAATTATCCCAATCCTCATCAGTGTAAAAATCAGTGTATAAATTTCTCCACTTGGGCGAATAACAAGAAAAAGAGGGAGAAAGAAGAATTCAACTATGTTATCATTCGGGATGAATGGAAAGAGCAAAATATTTCGTGTTACAGTAAGTATGGTCCCATATATCCCTGCAGAAACCATATTCGATAAGCGTATCGAGAAGTGTATTAACAAATTGTGTAACGACTAAGGATTATCACTAACATCATAGAGCAATATGACTGAGTGTGCAAAATTAGACTATAGACAAATGTATGGATGAGTGATACACGTATGACAGAGAGTTATGATCGACGGAATATCCGATATGTGAAACGAGCAATGCAGATATTCTCAGTATGAACTGAACTGATTACTGTGATAAGATCTCTCATTCGCACAAGGCATTCAACAAATCCCATCGCCGTCCGTGCCAATCTATGTTCTTATTCATAGGAAGCATAGAGGCAACAAGGACAAATTTATCAGACATTTGTACATTTCACTCACTATTCGCCATCGAAAATTGTAGGAATAGAATTTTCATCGCGGTCTCAAAACAGGAAGAGGAAAAAAAAACGTAGGAAAATTATAGTCGATCTGGAAAAAAAATCTGTATCGCAAGTTCATCCTTTAGCCGAAATGCTCGCAAAATCTGCTGTAAGTAGGATGTAAGCTTGTTCCTCGCGTAGCCGCAGTTGAACAGACAGTCCTGAAGTATACAGAGTTTGACAACTAGGCATTCAATCGTAATACTTTTCTACCTTATGTCAAGATGCAAGGATGAAAATAAAAACTGAATTCCCTGAAAGTTCTCTAATATTACTTTTAATTATCAACAAATATTGTACAAAACATTTTGTTTATACTATTTATTTATTAGATAGGAATTATTAGGAAGATGATAATCTTTTATAGAGTATAGTTATTGATTTTATTTAATCTTTATGAGAATTTATTTGTGTTATTAAAATTAATTTAGAGATATCTTCACAAATTTTTTTATTTAAAATTAGAAAAGTTTAATTTCTAAACTGTTTTCATCTGTAATTTCTATTCTAATTTCAAATAAAACATTTGTGAAAAAGGAAAATTTTATAATTCTAAAAATTGAAAAAAGAAAAACAGTAAGTTAAATCGAGATTAAAATTAATCTTACATTGGAATCTCGAACTTGAATGAATCAAGATCCAATTGCTCTAACAAGCACAATTTTGAATGTCAACGAACCCAAAACGAATTTGATTTCGTCAATAGACTATTTTATGTAAATTAACGTAAGTGTGATTAACTTCTCGTCATTATTAAATTAATTATATTAATTATTTTATTATAAATTGATATTTAATTATACAGAATATAATAGAATGGTCGTTGAAGAAATCCTCGATCGGACTGTCGTATTTTTTATTAAATTACTTTTATTAAATTAATTCTCGATAACAACCGAAGAATCAGTAAAACACACTTTTACAATTTGGACTTCCAAACTTCTGACTGGATACCTATTCGAATTTTAATATCCTAACGCAGAAATGAGTATGTAAAATTAGATTTGAGCGACAATTTTATTATGTATTGCATGTAATTTCGTTTGACTTTGTAAGGGGTTATATAAAAATGTTATTATTTATTATCACTGAAGAAGACTTTGTAAGTCGAAACGTTTGATGAATTTTGTAACGCTGTGCGTATGTAATTAAAAAACGAATTTTATTTTTTGAGTTAACTGTAATTGCTCGTTTAAAAAAAGCCTTGACACTTTAATTTTGATTAATTATATTGCTTTGTGAAAATAATTAAACGGTAGTGAAAATTCTTCAAACGATGATTGTATACAAAATTAATGCAATAATATATCTTTGTGTTAAATGCATTAACTTTTAATCGGATTTTCTTTTTTAGATATTCTTGGGATTGTTTTTTATCGGGCATAAAAATCAACAGTCGGTTCAACAAACACACATATATAGGGTGTATCAAAAGTCTGGAAATGGTCGTATATCTCGAAAGCAAAGCATTTTTGTAAAAAATATTTCATACAAAAGTTGTAAGGGGTTTAAAAAGAACTATTCATTGATCACATCCATTTGATCTTGGGTGGCGTCACCAAGATCAGGTCAAGGTTAAATCGATTTTTTTTAGTAGAACACTTTTAATGCCAGAATCTAATAACTGATGTCAAGAGCTTTTCAAAACATTATAATAAAGTTATTTTTCATTAAGTACTTTTCGAGTTATAAGACTTGAAAGTACAATACCGCCAGCATTACGCAATGTGTCCGACCGGCGGCTAAAACCTCTTGACGGAAAATCAAGAGAGAATGGAGCGGATTCAGCCGGAAGCCGTCATGTTTAGTGCACCGTTGAAGTGAGTAGGACATGTGGTAGGAGCGTGATGAAACTATTGTATCGCAGTGTTGTGGCTGTGTTCCAAAATTGACTGTCATGCAGTACTGGAAGTCTATAGTGCACGTAACGTAAACTGTAGCATTTTCAGTACTGGCAGTGAATTTCGGAATGCACCCATTGTGTAACACAGTGAATCGTTTCATCCTTGTTTAACGTAGGCAAATAACAAGGATGTAATCATTCACTGTGCTAATTGTGTCTGTATCTTTGCTGGAAAGCACCCAGTAATTTTGAAACACGACCTGTGCCATGACATATATGTATGTACATACACGCACATGCACATTTGGGAACCAATCAGAGAAGGGAATCATGCTCCACTCCGCTCTTCCTTGATTGGCTCTGCTTTTGAATGTTGTTCAGGACCATGTCGTGGATAACATTTATCAAGATCATGGCTATTGGAGATTATTCCTCTTATTCGCATTTTTGCGTTAAAAATTCAGTTTTACGTAAAAATGAAAATAAAATTTTGAAATTTGAGATTTTCGACCGACGACCGTTTCCAGACTTTCGATACGCCCTGTATATATAGTTACTTGGAAATTAGAATTATCAGAAATGGCCAGCATTGGCCAGCATTGGCCAGCATAATCTATATATATTATTTTTAATAGTGAAGCTGCAGATAAGATTTCTGCCGTATTCATGGTTTTAATACGATCAGTCCTACGGCCTACACGTCACCTGATTTGGCAATAACCCGTTTGATATCGAAGTCAAACCTACGGACTTCTCAGAGTCGTTATTATGGCAGCTCAGGTAATAGTAAAATGATAGTTCAATCTCGAAATTTTGACAACTTTAAACAAATGTTTAGACGACAATGTTTGACGAGTAATTTGTTCATAAGGTACACGAATTCAATGTCGAAATGACGTGCGAGGGATGCTCGACGGCTGTGCAGAACGTACTCGGGAAAAAAGCAGGTACTTGAAAACATTTGTAATCAATTTTGCAGACACAAAAATATTTTCGTGTATACGCCGTATTTCGTAAATTATATCTTGTCGGTACTCTTTGAAGACATTAGTTTTTATCACAACTGTGTAAAATGAGGTTAAATATACTGCATAGGGAAGTGGAAGTGTCAAGTATAAGAAATGGCACAGTTGTTTTAGGAAAAAAAATACATTCCAGTCGACACAAACTAAAAATAATACATTAATGTTATAATTCCACACTTCATAATGTAATAACTGTTGTACAATATGTGCTATATTGTTGAGTGTAGAATTATTATTATGTATATTTGGAGACACTGGTAGTGTCTCGGCGCTAAGCTATGCGCAGCGACACTGCTGTGCCTCCTTTACTTGAACTGGATATATTGTTACTTTAGCTGGTCGACTGGGATACTTATGTTCAAAATATCTCTATTATATTACTGTATGATATGTAGGTATCAATGACATCAAGATTGATTTACCAGAGAAGAAGGTATTCGTGACCACTGCACTCAATTCAAATGAGATTTTAGAAACACTCAAGAAAACAGGAAAAACTTGCCAGTTTTTACAAACTCATTAAGGAAATTAATAAGTGGGTGATTATGTGACATGATTGTAATAGGGGCTGCTAAATATGTCAGGTATACATTATAACAGATATTCTTATATTTTTCCTGTAAAAAAAGAAAATTGCGTTCAATTACTAATTCATAAATATATGTACATACAAAGTACAAAAATAATGTATTTAAGATTATATCTAAAAAATGTCTTGTATTATACTAAGCAGCTTACAAATTATATTCTCTGAATTTACTATATATAATGCAACACGAGATAAGCTATATTTCTCATATAACATAAAGCATCGAAATATTAGTTTAATTTTGCAAATATATGAACGCTGAAATGAATTTATCGTATTTTTTTTCGAAATTCTATTAAAAAATTAATTGCACAGTTACCAATATTTTATAAAAAATCAATATTTCTACACATTTATTTTTATAAATATACTTATATAATTGCAGATCAGAAATTTTATGCAAGAGATTTCATCACATAATTTCATTAATTTTTCCTATCAGGAAAATCATTTTAAATGTTTAAATACTATATGGTCATATAAGCATTGGCTGCTTAGATCATGTAATGTTGAGGGTATTTATAAACATTATAATGACAGCTATAATTTTAGTAAAAGGGACATGTACATGTACATTACGATATACATTCAAAGTATCTATATTATTTAATGTAATATGTAGATTTTTTTATATAGGATAGATTTATCAGAGAATAAAATACTCTTATACTTTGAAATGATCAGGAAACTACCAAACTTTAGAGATTCATTGTAGACAACTATTTATATGATCGTAACAGGTACTTCTGAAAAATGTATAGGCATATATTAATAGTAAAGGCAGAGATTATTTATGTTGTACATATATATTTATAAAAAAATATCTTACTCTTTTATATGTACAAAAAATACAAAAATAATATACTTAAGATTATATATAATAAAATATCTTCTATTATCTTAAGTAGTTTGTGTATTACAATTATATTTTTTAAATTTACTATAATGTAACGAAATATGATGCGTTATATCTATAATATAAAGCATTGAAATTTTAGTTATTAGCAAGATTTACTTGAAAAATTAATCAATTGTTAATATTGTGATACATACACATTATTCCAAGTCATTAACGATTATAAATCGGAGACGCTACAAATCTAGTTTCCATAGCGCTTTTTCTATTATTACCAAGCGTTGTTGTAATACATTATAATGGAAACGTAATAATTGTATTTTATCTAAAATTTTATCTTGTACTGTTTTAATGCGATCGGATGAAAATGCATTGGAAGATGTCTGATTGTGTAGGACTGTTTGAGATTGTTGCAAGACTACTGTGAGTGTATTTCCTACACAATCTACTTGAGAAGGTTTTATGTTCTTCATGTTCATTTTAGATTTCATAATTTTCGCCGATAGTCTTGTACTGTTGTCTGATTCTAGATGCAACTTTTTTAATTTATCTGACAAATACTGAAATAATATATATTATATAATTAATAGTTCTTGACTTAGTAGCACTTTTTTTTTTTTTTTTGTAAAATACGACCGTTACTTTGTTTAGTTTAATAGAACATATTTGTATATTAAATTATTACGTTCGCTTGGTCCTGCTTCACGTGTGTATCTTCTTCACGTTTATCGCTGTTCAATTCTTCATTTACATTGCCAAGTTCATATTCACTGGACCTTAACTGTGGAATGTCACTAGTTCTATCATCCTCACACAAATTATTAGACTTCCATATTCGCATTCGTCGATCCGGGCCACTAGAAGCGAAGAGCTTACCATCGTTTGAAAATGTTATGCATGTTACGTTATCAGAATGTCCCTCAAGAGTATATATTGAACGGCTTTTTAGAAGATCTAAAATCTAGCGATATTTCTTATTGCAGCAAATGTAGCTTATTAGAGCTACTTGAAATCAAAGTTTTAAACCACCTTCATTGTAGAATCATCAGAAGCTGTTAACATAAAATTTCCATTTGGATGGAATTTAACCATATTTACAGCTGCTGTATGAACAGGATAATACTGATGTAAAGAATTTGTTCTTAAATCATACAATTTAATACACGCATCCTCGTTTGCTGATCCAATAATTGTACCAGTTGGATGAAACTCTACATATCTAGTGGGAGCTAATACAAAATAAAATTTTTCTATATTAGCTCTATATTTTTACTTTAAGTAAAATTTTATTTTAAATTCCTAAAAGATGAAATTATAAGTTATAATACATTTGACAAACCTTTTATATCATTAAAAGTTTTGACACATCGTCCACTGGTAATATCCCATAGTTTTATTGTTTGGTCGTCGCTACACGATACTAAAAGCTTTCCATCGGGAGAAAATTTAACGCAACTAACCGAACTTGTATGTCCTGTAAATATCTTGGTGAAATTTCCCATCAATGGTATCCATAGAATTATACTTTTATCATCTGATGCAGAAACCAACTAAACATATCGATCGATAAACACATGATAAAATCAGTCTATGACATGATAATTTAGTCCATAATCATAGATATACAATTACGTAAACTGTCTATAGTGAAAATTTATGACAAATTGACTAATAAATAATTAAACGCAAGAATTACCTTATCTCCCTTTGGACTAAACTGTACTGATCTCACATTAGATCTATGTCCTTCAAATTTTGTAAAATGTCTACCTTCAGAGATTTGAACTCTGATACTATCTTCTGAAGCACTGGCTATAAGATCACCATTTGGTGAATAGCATACATCCAATATACCGGATTCATGGGCTTCAACCTTTTCACATTTTGTTTTCGTACAGATATCTAATCTCCACAATCTTAATGTTTTATCTAAGCTACTCGATACAAATCGATTAGTTTGTATTGGATGAAAGCTTAAAGCTGTAACATCACTATGGTGTCCTACTAAATATTTGTATTCTCTAGGATCACGGCCAGTTTGTTCCATTGTCCTAGTAGCACAATAAATTCACAATAGAAATAGTGAAAGAAAAATTAAATAAAAATATGTAAAGCAAGATCACACATAATAAATAGTGAAAAGTAAACCTTTGATTTAAATATTTTAAATTGATATATTAATTTTTAATCACAATTTTCAAATTATATTACAAATATAAACATTTACACTTGTAATATAATTCAAAAATTATGATTAAAAATTAGTGATTAAGATAACTGTATAAGAATTACTTCTCATTACTTTTCAACATTAATATATGTATATAGGGTATTTCAAAATTCGCGCCCGCGAAATACAAAATCACTTGTGATACTTTATGCTGAAAGAAACAACTTTTTCCTTTTGCAAAATTGCGTCTGACAAGTAATTTTTGCAGGAAAGCAGGTTGAAATTAACAAATAAACGTAAAAATTATTTATTGAACGCAATTTTGTTAAAGGAAAAAGTTGTTTGTTATGAAGTATCGTGTCTTGTACTTCGCAGATGCGAATTTTGAAACACCCTTACATAATAACTCCAAATTAAAATTCGTGTACTGATAATTCTATAACCAAAAACATTGAAAAAACGTAAAAAAAACTTATCACGCATGAAATGTATGTATAATTATTACTTTCTATTTTCGTCTGAGGATTTCAGCATCGCATGAGGCCCAGGATTATACATGCAGGGATGTTCCGTTATTTATTGTAATAGCAGTGAAAAATCTATATATAAATGCATTATATAATAGCGTTTTCGGCCCGATCGGGTTTGCACCAACCTGGGTTGGATTAATCTTTCCTATTGGTTGATATCACACGCTCTACCAATAGGAGAGCGCAAAACACCATTAATCCAACCCAGGTTGGTGCAAACCCGGTCGGGCCGAAAACGTGGTGCAAACCCAGTCGGGCCGAAAACGCTATAAGATTGTCGCATGCTCCAACATGCTCCTGCTACAGTTCCTATTCACTCTAATGAGTACATTGAAGTGAGTAGGAGCTATGATAGGAACATATTGGAGCATGCGACGCGAACAAACCTATATACTATAGGTTCAGTACTGGATATCAATCATGAAACTTTTCCTAGGATGAAAAGTGAAAAGTGAAAAATTTCTCCATTAACTTCAATGGTTAAAATTTTCACTTTTAACTTTCCATTCTAGGCTATGTTCAGATTCCCACTCGAATGCCACCCAGGTATCACTCTATCTTTGTTATTTACCGAACCTTAAACAAGGATGACATGACACTCAGAGAACACCCGGGTGGGAATCTGGGTATCAACATGAAACTTTATTTCTAAATGGAAAGTGAAAGGTGAAAATTTTAACCATTGAAGTTAGCTGCTTTCCATTTACACCGATTCTCAGATAATTCTCACTTGTGACGTCATAACTCAGTTGAATGCGCGTTTCTTTTGCATTCTGACAAATGAGATTCAACTGAGTTTTTACCCATAATCTGCACAAGATCGAGACCGTGTGCTTTAGTGAGTCTCATAAACCCACTTCAAAGTGAACCTGTGTTGACATGTGATAACTTTTTACCAAAGTAAGCAAGTAGTGACGTCATTAATCTGATAGGTTTGCGTTTTCGGTTTGCGTTAGATGCGTTTTCGGCCCGGGGCTCTATTCTTGAAAAGAAACGTATACGAAAATCTAGGGAAATGTTACAGTATACGTTACGTTTACTATAGTATTTCCCTAGACTTTCGTATACGTTTCTTTTCAAGAATAGAGCCCCCGATCGGGTTTGCACCAACCTGAGTTGGATTAATCTTTCCTATTGGTTGACGTCACCCGCTCTAATAGGAGAGCACAAAAGGCCATTAATCCAACCCAGGTTGGTGCAAACCCGATCGAGCCGAAAACGCTATCAGTTTCACTTGTGTGTAAATGAAAAGTAACTAATGAAGAAATTTTTCACTTTTAATTTTTCATCCTAGGAAAAAAGTTTCACGATTAATACCCTGAACACGAGCCTAGAGATAAGTTTCATGATTGATATCCTTGTAGCGTATATCGGAACACCGTTTAACTTATAAACAATGATGTGCTCAGTTTGGCCAAACCACTTTTGCTCCACGTTGTTTCTCAGTGCATAGTCTACCAACTGTGAAACGCGAAACATAGG